CTCAAGCGAAACGCTTGTTTTTCATAATTTGTTGAGGATGTCTCGAGCGAAACGCTGGTTTTGCAAAATTGGGGGATGTCTCGAGCGGGGGCCTCGTGGGGGGCCAGAATTCAGAGGATATCTCAGGCGCAATGCTTGTTTTCGTGTCCCGCTCGCAGGAATTCCGAGGATGTCTCGCGCGTGCCGCGTCCCGCGCGTAGGAATTCGGATGATTGTGATAGGATGTCTCGAGCGAAACGCTTGTCCCCAGCACGTTCAGTAGCGCGTCCCCTTGGCACGTCCCGCGTTGCGACCCCATGGCACGTCCCCTGGCACGTCGCCTGGCGCATCCCTTGGGACGTTTCGCGGCGCGTCCTCCTGGCATGTTCCCCTTGTCAATTAGCTCTGGGGCAGCTACTATGTGTTCAGGCAGCTCGAGCTTAAGATCCAGATCAGTTCGGTCAGGACTCGGATGCAAAGGAGGACTCGATCCACGACGCTATAGAGCACAACCGCGGCATGGCACATCGCAATTCAGCACGGTGCAGCACAGCACAGCCCTCGGCAGGGTACATCAAGATCGATACACTCAGCATTGCAACTTGGCACGTTCCTTGGCACGTTCCGTGGGGCGTCCCTTGGCAAGTCCCCCTGGCACGTCGCGTGGCGCGTCCCCTGGCACATTCCGTGGCACATCCATTGGCACGTTCCGTAGCGCGTCCCTTTGGCACGTCCTACGGTGCGACCCCATGGCGCGTCCCCTGGCACGTCGCCTGGCGCATCCCTTGGGACGTTTCGCGGCGCGTCCTCCTGGCATGTTCCCCTGTCCATTAGCTCTGGGGCAGCTACTATGTGTTCAGGCAGCTCGAGCTTAAGATCCAGATCAGTTCGGTCAGGACTCGGATGCAAAGGAGGACTCGATCCACGACGCTATAGAGCGCAGTCGCGCCATGGCACATCGCAATTCAGCACGGCGCAGCACAGCACAGCCCTTGGCAGGGTACATCAAGATCGATACACTCAGCATTGCATTTGCCCGTCACCCAATCAGGTGTCTTTGAAAACGCTGCCATGTGTTACAGTTCTATATTCCTTTCCGGGTTCGTGGGTCGATCATGTTTCCCTCATGAATTCGAAACAGGACTGCCGGCCCAACCGAGCTCTGGAATTTGCCCACCCGAAAGATATGAGATGCCCACTTTGACCGCCGTGCGACTCAGCTCCAACTGATCGCGAACGTCATTCGCCAAGCCCGTTGCAGCGGACACGACGGCGAGATTCACTCCAGTGATCGACGCGTTGGTGGCCCCGCTGGCCTCGAATAACAACTCGACACACTCCACGACAGCGCCTCTCTGGACATCGCAGTCCGAGGACGAGTTTGGGAGGCCTGCGTCGTCGAAGTAACTCTGACAGTCGATAGCGGGCGCCCTAGCCACGAAAATAAAGGAGGCGCCCACAGCGTTCACCTTCACCGCTAAGCCTGCGCAGGCGTCACTTGCTGGGGGTCCGAGTCGAGCGACTGGGCAATTCTCTGCATGGCGCGCCCTGGGGCATATGAATCGTGGACGCAGCCACGCATTGCACGAGCTTCAGCCACCACGCGGGCGCCCCGTGTCGTTGCAGTTTGATTCGCACAGCGGTGAGACATTGACCATTCCCCGACGAAGACCACTCCGTGTGCGCACCATGCTCGGTCAGACTCCGAACGAGATGATTGGGCCCATGCATAGTCAAGAGCTGAGCACACCTTTGTCGCGCCGCACTACTCACGATCTAGAGCCTGACGCATGCGTTGAACGATCGACCGTCGAGCTCTCTCCCATACGCGGCGCATGCCCGCGTGCAATATGACCAATCTGTTGCCGCCAATAGGCACGCCCAGGAGACGCATCTGGATCCAACGCAACTGCCAAGGGAACGC